TACACTTTCGCTACTTCGTATGTTTGTGGAAACCATGATGCGGTTTTCTTTCTAGGAAGGTTTTATGAACAAAGTTCAAAACAGCAGCATTTATGTGACATGTTGTAATACATGCCTTTTCTGTTGCTTTTCATTAATGCATTTTTGATTGCTAATTTGTTTGCTGAAGTGCTGTTTTTTTTTAAATAGACACACACACATCCATACACTCACAGAAATGTTAGTCAGAAAATTATTCTTACTAAGTTATTATTTCATCTCAATTGTCCAGATTGATTGATTGATCGATTGACTGATTGATTGATTTACTGGTTGGTTGGTTGGTTGATTGATTTGATTGACTAGTTAATCGATTGGTTGGTTTATTGGTTGGTTTATTGATTGATTGATTGATTGATCGATTGATTGGTCGATTGATTGACTGGTTGGTCGATTGGTTGGTTGATTGATTGATTAATTGATTGACAGGTTGTTTGGTTGGTTTATTGATTGATTTATTCATTGATTGATTGACTGGTTGGTTGGTTAATTGATTGATTGATTGATTGAATAATTGATTGACTGGTAAGTTGATTGATTGATTGATTGATTGATTTATTAATTGACTGGTTGGTTGATTGCTTAAATTGATTGATTGGTTGACTGGTTGATTGGTTGGTTAATTGATTGACTGGTGGGTTGGTTGGATAAGTGAATAATTGATTGATTGATTGACTGGCTAGTTGATAATGATTGATTGATTGATTGATTGATTGATTGATTGATTGATTGATTGATTGATTGATTGATTGATCAGTTGGTTGGATTGATTGATTGGTTAATTAATTGGTTGGTTGATTGATTAATTGATTGTTTAATTGGTTGATTTGTTGATTGATTGACTGGTTGGTTGGTTGGTTTGATTGATTGATTGGTTAATTAATTGGTAGGTTGATTGATTAATTGATTGATTAATTGGTTGATTGATTGACTGGTTGGTTTGTTGGTTAAGTGATTTGATTGATTGATTGATTGATTGATTGATTGATTGACTGGTTGGTTGTTTGATTGATTGATTGAATGGCTGGTTGATTGATTGATTGATTGACTGGTTGATTGATTGATTGATTGATTGATTGATTGATTGATTGATTGATTGATTGATTGATTGATTGATTGATTGATTGATTGATCGATTGATTGACTGGTTGGTCGATTGGTTGCTTGCTTGATTGACTGGTTGGCTGGTTGGCTGGTTGGTTGATTGTTTTGTTGATTGATTGATTAATTGATTGATTGATCGGTTGATCAATCGATTGATTGATTAAAATGTTTACTCATTCACTCATTCAATCAATCACTTATGCATTCATGTTTTTTTTGTCATTTGAATATTAACTAATAATTAATGCAAATGTATTAACTCTATCATGCTTATGCTAATTAATAATCGTACTCTATAAAAGTGCTGGGCTGTTTTAACCCATGTTGAGTCAAATACAAAATACAAATACAAGACCCATAGAATGATTTTTTTTCTTTGGTCAATTAATTTTAAAATATACTTTTTACTCAATGGTTGGGTTTGTTCATTATAACCCAACAATGGGAGAAATTGTCTATGTTTCCATTGCACACTCAAAAAATATATGTACTTTGCTGCATATTCAAACTACCTATTTTAAATTAGCTGAAAATTCTGGGTGGATAGCTTAATTGTATTATGCTCATGTTAACTTCATTTATGTTGAACCAGCATGAATGAATTGTGTGGAACCCTGCATTTCTTACAGTGCATCAAAAAAGGCATGGGTGAAAATGAAACAAGCACAAAAGCACAAATTAAACAGATAAATGATCATTAAAAGTGGAACTGTATTAAAACGGTGACTGAGAAATGGCACACGCTGTGATCAGAGTGTCACATTCTCACCAGGCGTTCAGCCACTTTCTGCCCCGTCCTCCTCCTGAGCGTAAAGTCCTGAGAAGACACTCAAACCCTGAATAAATGACACACACACACACACACACACACACACACACACACACACACACACACACACACACACTCACACACACAATTGCATAAGTAAAATAGTGAGCGACAGAAAGGGTCAGCCTCTGTCTGCTTAATGACAGAAGCCCTCACACGCTCCGGATTGTTTAAATACGACTCGCCAGTTTCAACAATCATCATATCTCTCACTTTCACCCTTCATACCCAGCAGCCAGCGAGCTGACACATAATTACACACTTGCTGATAGTAGAGCCGTGCCGATAATTAAAACTGCCACTGGAGGATTACTACCGCTAGTCTACAGCTGCGATGCTGTCAAGAGGTGGAACTCGCATGCGATTCTGTTGTCGTATTTTAACGTAATATTAGTTGTATATCGCCGTCTGGCTTTCGCTCGGGCCGGTAATGGAAAGGCCTCAGCCCGGTGTTTGCGGTGTCTCACACAAATGAGGAGAATCTATTAGCGATTCTGCGAGTGACATGCAAACACCACCGCAACAGTCTGTCCTCCCGATCAATCCGCTGCTATTACCTCAGCACTCACAGATCTGATTTGGCAAGGTGTCGCTTTCCAAAAGGCGATTTTAGCACCATTAGAGCCCGGGCCACACACGTCTAACTGGAACAAAAGCGGCGGACAGGGTGCATATGCACACACCTTTTAAACACCGGCTACCACCTGCATGAGCACCATCTGCTCCATGTCGGACAGGGCCTGATAATAGTGCGCTATATAAATATAAATACAGCACAGGTGAAATTCATGTCAGGTGTGTGAAGCCGGCCCACGCTCGGCCTCGTACCTGCAAACACAAAGCAAACACACAAGAAACCCCTTTTTTTAAAGACTCTTACCATACATTTTAATATTCTTTAAAACAACTGTTTAGGTTTCAATTAGTAATATTTTAACTTACAGTTTGTTTACTACAGCATGCTATTCATACACTGAATAAAAGCGCTAATCCAGCAGATGGCAACTAAAACAGCAGGAATAATGGTATTTTCTTGATTACTGCAGTATAGAAAGCAGCGTGACATCAATTCGAGCTGGGTTTTATCGATTTCATAGACTACACA